AGGCACTTATATATTGTTAACAAAGCAACACTATCAGCCGAACTCTGCTCAGAATCGTTAGCAATGGCTTGCCGTTGCTTACAGATGTACATTAAATTCCCTTTTGTATCCTACCTTCCAGACTTCCCACCTTCAACAGTGGCTGCACCCGTCCCCAATATCGTTGAACAGCTTTTTTTTTCTCTCGAATTTCTAGTGAAGTGAGGAATTTTTTTCGGTTTTACAACGATGTTTATTTAAATTGTTTTTACCTGTGGGCGATTTTTCTACCGGCAATTTCGCTCCGATTTTCAATCATAGCACTTTTTCCTTTAAGAAAATCTGACGGGATGGTGCTTTGAGGATGTCATTTTTTGATCTACCTAGGAGTTTTTCTGATAAACGGGAAAAAACTGAAAAACGGCTACAATATTAAACAAATATTTTATTGCGCACAATACGTAATTATTTTACCGCGATATGATATAATGTGTATATTATTGACAAAGCCACGCTGTTGACCGAACTCCGTTCAGAATCCGTATTCGTTTACAACGGTCAATCGTTGCTTACAGGTATACATTCAATTTCCCCTCTACTTTCACAATGTCTCGCCTACAACAGTGGTGGCGAAGTGCGAAGTGTGTCTCCGTCCATTATTTTGTATCCGAATTTTAAATTCTTACTGCCGAAACGGGTAAAGGCGAAGATTCCACGATTTGTTTACGATTAGTGTTCGATTGTATCGGTTTTGGCGTTAATTTTCCGAACTATAAAATGTATGCTGCGCGAATGATGAGTTCAGCGAGTGTCGTGAACACGGTGTAATTTACCTTTTTTTTTTTTTTTTTTTTTGTTCTTTCTCTGCGTTCCCTTTCCCGCCCCGTTTCAAAACCCCGAAATATCAAGCGCAATATCACGTGACACAAATTGCTTGGCATTCTTTATTTCTTTCCTTATCATTCCGGACACACGGTCTTCCGAGACCGTGTGTCCGTGACGGTAATTTTCGACGTCCATAGGGATTTTTCGGCAACACCGAACGCGTTCATTTTTTTTTTTTTCTAATTAACGCGTTCGTTTTATTGGACAATAAACGCGAACGCCCCGAACGCCCCGCGTGCGAGTATACCAATGTCGTGCAGGTACGCTCCGGATCGAAAATCCGGATTTGACACGCACAGGCGGCCCGCATATAATTGTGCGGCGCGACGACGGGACGGTATTTCTTTTTTTTTTTTTTTTTTTTTTTTTTTTGTTCTTTCGCTGTTTACCCCGACCCCGCGTAGTCTTTGGCCGTGTCCGCTGACCGGTACATCTGCCCCCGGGCCGCCTATTATTGCGACGGTCGCCCGCCCGCCGCGCCGAAAGCGAGAAGACAAACGCGCGCGCTGTCGAAAACGTTCGGTCCCGGGACGGCGGCGGGGCCGTCAAAAGGCCGGCCGAGTGAAACGTCAGCGATGACGTTAATCCGTCAAAACGCGCGGCCGCTTTGTGCGGGACGACGGCGCGCGCCCCGCGGACGCGTCCGGTCCGGGAGGTTTCGCGGACGCCGCCGCCGCGGCCCCGCCGACCGACCGTGACGGCGTTATCGTTTTTATCGTAACGCAAATAAAACGCGTTGTAACGCGGGCATTGTGATTCCGCCGTCCGCGAAATGCGCCGGTGATCGATTAAAAAATAACACCGCCGCGTGACGTGGTAACGGTGGCGGTGTCGCGCGCGTCCGCGCGTTTATTGTTCTGGCTATTCGCGGCGCGCAAAACGGCCGGCGCGGCCGCGCGGGCACCGGCGTGACAATATCGCGCAATAAATTACGCGCGCGTGACCGGATATTCGTTTCGGAATAATTGCGCGGCGTCGTACACGGCTATCACTGTCGACGTTCACGGCACATAAATTTGTCGACCGCGGTGCCGGACCGGGAATACCGCATGGAAATCCGGGCATTGTGCGGCCGATTCGAAAAGCCTCCGCCGCCGCCGCCGTTTTCCCTCCGTTCTTGTTGCCGGGGGGTCGGGCGACGCGGTTAAAACGTACGGGCGCGAAATTCGCCGCCCCGGTCGTTTTTCCCGCGGAGAAGTAGACGACGACGACGACGACGACGGCTTTTGTATATTTCCCTCCCTCCCCCCCTCCCACCACTATTCCCCCTCCCGTTTCTCCCGTGCGTAACGCTACACACCTCGTTCGGCGTTAACGGCTTTCCGCCGTAGATTTAGCGCGCAACGCGATATTATGATACGTGTCGTTGTTTCGCGTTTACGGGCGTTTTAGCAAATGAGTGGGGCGAAGAAGCTTACGGTTTTTCAAAGATGTTTATTTTTTTTTTTTTGTTATTACAACTTTTTTACCGGAAATCCCGCTCCGATTTCCAAGTATAGCGCTTTTTCTGAAAGGAAATCTGACTGGGGAGTTATTTTAGGGAGTTGGTTTTTCGATTTTACAAAGAGTTTTCCCGGCGAATGTGAACAACCGGGAAAACGGTACAATATATTAAACAAATATTATTGAAGAAAACGCACAACGCTTGTTTAAGTATTTCACCACACTGTGACATCTGCATTGTTGACGAAGCATCACTATGCAGTGAACGCCTCTTAGAATTGTTATAGTAAACGATGGTTTATCGTTGCCTTCAAATACAAATTCATTTCTCCTCTACCATCATACCTTTCCAACTATTCGCTAACAATAGTTGTTGCACCCGTCGTGCGGAATATGTCGTTTTTTTTCCACATTTTTACGATGTCTTATAGATTCGGAGCGTGAGGAATCTTCGCACACGGGTTTACTACATTGATTTGTGCTTTTTTTTTTCACGGACATTTTGTCTATTCGATGCATTAGAGAGGCCGTTTTTCGATTAACCAATATTACCCAATGTTCAGGGGGAACCGAATGACGAGGTTATCAAACAAATTCACTAATAGCACGTACACACATCTGTTATTATAGTCGGTACTTTTTTTATTTTGCAACAACATACCGTGAACCTTCCCCTTCACCGGTGCTCTCTATATAATAAATATAACAATGAAGCGGGGTTCACGAAATCAGCTGCAACAGCGCAGCTCTTTTTTCATTTAAAACGTATTCCATCCGGATTAACGGTAGCCAGGGGAGAGGGGAGACGTTCGGTGAGCCCGCGGATGTATAAAGGCTCCATCGTGGCATAATTTATGAGTATGAAATATGCGTTGAACCATTTTGTTGTTTACAAATCACCATGAAATTCAATATGTACCTCGTATAACCATTACACATATTTAGCAAGTATTTCAATAATAATACAATATATATTATATATAATTGTATAAAGAAAAAAAATAATATGCAAGTAGATTTATAGATAAGAATCAATAGACGTAATGTAACATAATGTCATTCCCAACTTTCAACCTACAACAATAGCCTGCCTATAGTGCGAAATACGGAAACAAGATATTTTATTGAGTTTTACACCTATCCTGTGAGTTTGAGCTCCATCCCATCGGACGTTTCCTCATTTTAAACTTTCAAAGATGCCCACACACAACAGTGGCCTACCCATGGTACGGGCTATATCAAACATGTATTTCCCTAAGACTTTAACCTGCTTTATGTGTTTAAATTCATAATTTCATCGGCGAGTACCTTATTATACCATCCTGAAGTTGGCTCACTTTGTCCGTTCGAATTCAAAATACCATCAAATAATTGCAAATCGAGTTTCGCTAACTGCGAATCTGTTTTATATTTTTTAGACATTTTCAATTTTTTACCCATTCTCAATTGATATCATGGGATGGTATCTTAGGGATATGGTCATTATGCGTTTTATATAAGAAGATTCAATGGTGTATGGGAAATACATAATGATCTAAACAAATTAATTAAATCACATATGAATGAAAAACAAACAAAAGTAAATCCACAAATTCTTATATATATATATATGTGTTCAGAAAGAATAACATCAAATTTATTTCAAACAAATAAAATTGAAAATGTTTTAACAATAAATATAATATAATTATACTTTTTTAATTTTGTAAATTTACCTAATCATACTACCAAATGTACATATGTTATAGAAAAAATAAACTATATTAAAATTAAGTTAAATTAGCACAGTAATTTCTTTGATTTTTTTTAATTTCAATGAGATCGTAACAAGGATATTATTATATCTCAACGATTATTGAGTACATATTATTGAGATACAAACATAAACATTGATAAAACACATTATAAGTACGGTTTAACTCGTAAAAATAAAATGTCTATACATAGCTCAAAAATTGCTCAAACATTCTGAAAGTTTTACTACGTCTAGCAAAACCATATATGAGTCTTTTTATCAAAATTTCAAGTCACTACGAACGTTTTTAACTGAATTATAATAAAAAAACTAAAATGAAAATAGAGAGAACAACTTTTATTTTACAAAAAATTACAACGGACTGCCTGACAATCAGGTTGTCTATGATGACACAGTATACTTATCAGGCATTTTGTTATTAGTTATTTAAGTTTTGTAAGATTAGTAGTAAAAGAAGTATAAAAGAACTATGTATGTAAATCTTTAAATTAATTTGTAAGGTATGGCTTATTCTAAGGTCTACTTTACTAAATATATTGGTTTTGAAGAAGTCGCGTATCAGTCTGGAAGCTGTATCCCTATCACCGAACCACAGCTCTTTTAAGTTCCAGTTTTCTATTTTTCCTATCGAAAGATAGTAGACAACTAAAGAATTATTTTTGTATATTTTCTCGATATATCTACATTCTTTTTCGATTGTGCTTAGTTATGAAAAAAACTACTTTTTAGTAAAACAACTAAAAAAAAAAAAAAAAAAAAAAAAAATAAAATAAAATAAATAAATAATAATAATACGCGTTTTAGTCGAACCGAGAGCGATTGATCTATAAACAACAAAAAACAAAAAAAAACTACTAGTTAGATATTGTTATGACGAAATAATTTCATTTGCAGTGTAATGTTTAAAACTAAATAATAATAACGAACGCCTGTAACAATGAAGATCAATTTTCCCAACGAAATAGCCAAGAACAACGATCACATTTTAACGCTCAACGGCGGTTTGGAGGGTAAATTCGTGTTCAACACGAACGACTGCATCGGAAAAGGAAATTACGGGAAAATTTTCACAGGTAATCGGACGGCCGCGCGCGCGTCCGCGTCCGCGTTTTAAAACCGATTCCTGAAACAAACGCGTAAAACGATCGTTCTTGTCGCACAGGCCGGGACATGTACACGTACGAAGAAGTGGCGATTAAAATGGAACACATCACGTCAATGGAGCTGTTCAAGGAACACCGGAATTACAGAATAATAGGCACCGGCCGTAATTTCGATTTCGCACATTAAACTCCACAACGTTATGGCGCCGCGTTTTCTATTGCGAACCGCGCGACGTGTCGAATTCTCGCTCGGCGGGCACGACTTGGTGCGCTGGTGCGCTCGTAACGGTACGCCTGTTGCCGAACTCGAAGCTGACAAGAACGTAATCCGCGCGGTCTCGCCGTCGGTTTTCTCCGTAGTTTTAATTTTTTCCGCGAGATTCGCGTATTTTTGAATCGCGGCGGTTCACGCACCACCCGCGTCACCATAATATTGAAACGAACGGCGCGGGCGCGCCCCGCCGAACGGATATATTTCGCCAAGTCGCGCGGTTGTGTTCCGCAAACAACTCGTGCGGGCATGGCGTAACCCCCTCGAGCCCGACTCGCCGTCCCGGCAAACAATTTCAATCCAGTTTTTAACTTTTAACGAATATTATCGAATGTCGATAAAAAAAAAAAAAAAAAAAAAAAAATGTTCGAGTTTTGTTTGTTTACTTGCAGAGAGGTTTCACAATGTACATGGGTTTCCGACGATCTATTACTTAGGCAATTTGGGATTGAAATATACGGCTATGGCTATGGAACTGTTGGGCCCGTCGTTAAACGAATTGTTTATACGCTGTGGATGCATTTTTTCACTGAAGACCGTTTTGATGATTGCCGATCAAATGGTATGTAAATAAATGATCGGAAAATTGTCAATTATATTCAATGATGCGCTACCGGTAACCCGGTAACCGGCGTTTAGTTTTGCATAATCGATTGGGGGGCGTGCACGTTACAATTAAACGCCTTACGCAGTCGTCGGGACTCTGGGTAATTTTTACACGATTTTCATTAACTCGCCTTGAGTCGTGTCATCGCGAGGATGCGGAGGATTTTGGTCCCCGCTAATAATTTGTATGTTACATATTATTCAATCGCGTTATTATTATATAAAGGCTCGAACGGGGGCGGTTTTCGTCAAGCCCCAAGGGAGAGAGGTGAAACAAATTGCTTTTAATATTATTATGACCTACAAATATAGTGGCGAACGACTAAGTAATAGTTTTATGGTGGCCGACGGGGGACGATCCACTCAAAATAACTTTTTATTTTATTATTTTGAACAATTTGAAGATAAAGATTTTATGGAGTTGATTTTTTGACAATTTTTACGTATCTTTTTTATTTTCATTGAATTCGTGATTTGTAATCGAATTTTAAAGTTCAGAGAAAAAAGACGGATATACTTCACACGAAAAAACTAATTAAAATCACAAATTCAATGAAAATAAAAAGTTGAAACGTTTTCAACATTTTCAGACGAATAAATTCCATTAAATCTTTAAATTTTCCGAAAATAATAGAATAAAAAGTTATTATTTTTTTATTGTTTTAAAAACGAACCCAATTATATTTTAGTTTTGTTTCACAGATAACCAGAATCGAATTCATGCACGACTGCAAGTTGGTCCACAGAGACCTGAAACCTGAAAACTTAGCCATCGGACGTACCCAGCAAACGTTGCCGTACAAAGAATCTATGGAAAACACAATTTACCTGATAGACTTGGGAATGGCCAAAGAATACGTAGACCCGGTAAGCGGAATGCACATTCCGTTCAGCAGACAAGCCGGCGTGTTCGGAACGTACCAGTTTATGAGCGCCAACAGTCATGAAAACATCGGTCTGTATATATTTGGGTCTAGGGATAATATCATTCGCATATCACTACGACTGTCCTGTTTTACCTTTTTTTTCGTAACATCCGTTTCGGTTGTAACAACCGTAATTTCCGTAACATAATCTATTTCAGTGGCGTAGTGAAGTAAGATTTTTTGAGGCAACCGTCTCATGACTAAAATGAGTGTGGGTGTATTACTGTCACCAAACATATTAACTGCTGATGAAGATTGACTAGTTCAGAGATCAGAGATGCCCTCCTCAGTTTTGTGTATTATACTATTAGTATACGAATAATGCTAGTCTATATTATGTTATATCAATGCGGTTAAATAAAGTTTTTCCCGTAAAAAAATTATTTATAGGACCTATGAAATCCAAGTTTCGGGTGGGTCCTAGTTTGTTTTTTTTTTGTTTTGTCTCAAATATATAAAAATGTTCATCACGCCACTGATCTATTCGATAATAATATTATCGACGAGATATTATAAAATAATACAATTAGATGTAGTTGACGACCAAGAGCAATTGACGTGTATATACTTAAGGACTGCAGTTATCCAGATGCCTGTGTGAAAATTTATTTTCAACCAAACAGTCCAATATACTAATGTACGATATTTCGGCATAGGCAAATAGACGATAATGCGCAAACGACGGACGCCGATATGTTATTATACTCGGAGAGGAGGTATCTATAATAATAATAATAGTTTTCTTTTTCCGTCTTCTTGTCGGTCCGCAATTTATATTCCTTCTTGAAGCCGGTAATTCGGCGACCTCGTCATTTGGTTCCCTGAATAAGTCGCGCCTCCGGCGTTTCGCGTCTGACATGATCCACATTGTGTATTAGGCGTTGGTCGTTTTGCTCGTTTCAAAATTCACATTCTCGTGTCCGTCGACATAATTATCATTAGGTTGGCAGTATTACGAATAACACCGTAGAAAACAATAGATCATAGACATCAAAAAATCGATTATTATTCTAAATTATCTATGATCGCGATACCCTATACAGTTACTGATATTATAAACGCAAAAGTTGGCGACAGCCTTTGAATGTTTATGAATCAACTACGATAAAACTCGGACCTATGGATTTGAATGCGATTCGACACACGGATAGAATATGTTATGGGCCAATTTTTATCCCGGTAATGCTTTCCTGTGAGATAATTTTCAACGTTACGCGAGCCAATATTATTAATCGTATTTAAAAAAAAAAAAAAACACATTTTAGTAAAACCGGTACATTCCTCGCTTCGCTCAGAATCGAAAATAGATAACACAATAACACAATATTTTTTTATTCTTTCATCCCGCGGGACGTCTGCTAACCGTATTGTTTTCAACAGAACAAAGCCGCAAAGACGATTTGGAAGTTTTGGGGTACATTCTATTGTTCTTCGTAAACGGCACGTTGCCCTGGATAAAATACTTAGAAAACGAAAATTCGATGGACTTGGACAAATGCGGAGAGATGAAAAGAACTATTTCCATCAAAAACCTTTGCGACGGTCTACCCGGTCAGTAAACCTACGTATACCATACGGGGTGATCAATCTGTTAAAAGACGCTCATTATCTCGGAAAGAATTAACTTTTTTCGATATTCGTTTCATAGAAAATTTTAGAGACAATAAGCTGCTATGCGATTTTACATTTATGTTATTTTTCGTCACCCCGATTTTCGAGAGCGAAAGTACTATCTGTAGTGTATTTAATTTATCATAAGCCGGTGTTTAAATGCGATACTCGATAAGGTGCAGGCCGGGCGGCCTTTATTATTGTTATCATTGTTATCTGCGGTATGTGGTATCGTCACTCGCTCAGCTGCGGTTAATCGTTGCGCATTGCCTATATTCATGTTTCAATAATACGATTATACCGGCTACGTATCATTTTATTAACATTACTCTCGTCATTTACGCGTAATGAGTTCCTACACAGCAGATACAACAGCTATCTACTATTAATTTTCAAAATGGCAACCTATATTCAAAATTCCATAAATAGATAGTAGTAAAAATTTCGGTGTTTTTTTTATGGGATTTTTAATACAGATCGCAATTCGAAAATCAATAGTAGGTAGTTGTTTCACCCCCAAGAATTAGAGTGGCGAAAAATAATAGAAATGTCAAACTTTAGAACAGCTTGTTTTTCCTCGATGTTCTTGAAAACGAATTTCGAAAAAAGTTAACGCTTTCCGAGATAATGAGTGTCTTACGATAAATTGATCATCCCGTATATTTATCAGTCTACATATCCTTAACCGTGCAGAGTTTGGGGTGCGCGATATCGTTCTGATCGGGCGGTTGTTTTTGTTTTAATTTTAGAAGAGTTTGCGATCTATTTCGATTACGTAAGAAAAATGGATTTTTTCGAAGAGCCCGATTACGAGAGGCTGAGACTTATGTTTTACACGCTTTACAAGCAAAACGAGTTTCCGGAAGACCATATATTCGACTGGTCGGCGGAAGCAGATTAATTGATAATTATGTATTGGTGCCCGTACGGAACGTTAAATTTAAATACAAATTAATCGTAGACATCATCAATCGTGTATAAAACGTACTATACACAATTAACCGTTCAATGTTTTTTTTTTTTTTTTATTTTTCAAATTCCATTCGTTTTTAATTTTTATATATATTTTACGCGCGGTGAAAAAGAATACCGATCGGTGAGGGGGCGGGTGTACGCGGCGGTCGTGTACGCTTTAGATTATTAACATTCGTGTCTGCTGCCGGTGCTCTGCGCGGATAACGAGACGGCCGATAAGAAAACCACGCGGCCGGCAGCCGTTGTGTGCACGTTACGGCGACGGCGATACGGCGACGGCGACGACGTACCGTGTGTGTGTTTGAACACGATAAACCGATCGCGTTGTTGACGCAAATAGCAGACGGCGCGACCGAAAAGTCTACCGGCGTCGACTTTGGGTGTTTGCCCAAGCCCAGATACCGAACCGTTCCCTCCCCGTCGCCACGCTCTCTCCGCGCGATAACATTTCTCTCTCCATCCGCCTCTCGACATAACGGCGTCCGTTAATCCGCACGATCCGGTCGTACTGCGTTTACGTTGACCGTGTCACCGTGTCAACCCGACGGCGGCAGTCGTCTCTGTCGCCGCGTCCCTACGATTTCGTCCGTCACGCCGTCGTCCCCCGGCGTTTCGTGACTCGTGCGATCCGCGCACTGACTGCGTTACCAACGCGGTCGGTTTTTTTTTTTTTTTTTTGGTGGGGGGAGGTGAAGTTCCAACCATAAAATGTATCAACGAACGGGCCAATAAATCAGGGTTTTCTCTATCGGTAATCCGGTTTTCGCCGTTCAAAAAATACCGCTCGAACGGTACACCGCAATGCCGATTAAATGAACAGACACGTTGACACGGATTTTTTATTATTATTATTATTATTATTATTTTTGTTTTTTTTTTTTGGTGGGGGGGAGGTGAAGTTCCAACCATAAAATGTATCAACGAACGGGCCAATAACTGTACCGATAATAAGAATAATAGGAATTTTGAATTTCGGGGGTAGGGGTCTGGTCCTTATGACCCTCTCCCCCGGCTACGTGCCCGACCATCAAGTGCCGCGTCGTACCGGGAAACCGTAATACCACGAAGTACCGCCGTATAATTGCCCGAATACCGTAACTCGACATTTTTTTAGACATTTCAATCAAGTTCGGCGTGCCGCGAAACCCACTGAAAAAGTGAACTAAAACTGTTTACGTAAACGATCGCAAAGCCAACACGGATGAGCTGATATCCAGTGTCCCGACCTTATCTTCTACAAGACCGCGCTATAATATTATTATTGCGGTATACAACTCGCTATGCATACGTGCATTTTCCCGTTTTACCTACGAGTTTTCCCGGGTTTCTCAGTCCGTTGACTACGCGCACCGTTCGTTTTCGGAAAATACGTTCGACTCGAAAACCGGGGTAAAAATGGCGGAAAAAAAAAAGAAAAAATCCCAGAACCACGGTGGCAAAACCGACACGTTGTGTTTTTCGGCGCGCTCAGAATCCAAAACGAAATCCGGACGTACGGGCGAAAACCGTTGCGCGGGACGGTCGAATTTCGCGCGGCCTGCTGGTTAGGCAGTAAGGTCGCGCAGTAAGGCGCGTAAAACCGTGTACCGAATGCGACGCTGGCCGTACAGTTGAGCGGAAAAAAAAAAACAGAAAAGAAAAAGAGGAAAAAAAAAAAAACCCCCCGCGGTAACAAATCTTTTTCCGGAATCATGGACCGACCGACACGTCGGAACCGATAATTGAATATTACGACGCGTCGGAGGTGAAAAGATAAAAAAAAAAAAAAACACGTCGCGGTACGACATTAATTCGGAACTCTGTAATTACGCGCGGTCGGCTCCGCGCGTGTTATTATTGTTATTATCATTACGGTTGTTGTTGCTGTCGTTGTTATTATTATTATTATTATTATACCTGTGTAGCGTTCCGAATAAATTTCTCTCTCTCTCTATTTTTTTTTTCCTTTTTTGTTTTTTTTTTTCTTTCGTACCGTATCGACAACGATGATTAACGACGCACCGGCAACGGGTAATAAATGTCGTCATCGCGTCGGCGGCAACCGAAAACAAAAATAAATAACAATACAAATTCTTCACGCCACCGTGTAATTATCGCGCGCATTCAATACGCGTCCGTGTCTTATCTGTGCACGACGGCGAGTATATTTTACACACGTGTTTCGGTTCGGTTCGGTTTACGATCCCGGGGCCGAGGAGCGCATTGTCGGTTTCGCCCCGCAGTGGCCGTACCCCCGGGGTTTTTCGATTCAGCGGCGGCCAAACGGTTTTTGTCGTTTCCCTTCATTTTTTTTTTTTTTAATAAAATCAACTCGGGCCCTTCTCGGGATCGCGTTGTCGTGGATAAGGCGGAGTGTGCGAAATGGACGAATTTCAAACGTCGGACAGTTTATAATAAATTCATGTTTATAAACGGTCGACTGTTATTTAGTAGGTCATGCACATTGTACGTTGCACACGTATTATAGCGACCGTACAGAGACGCCCCATATTGGCAAATGACGTACAGGGTACAGCGATGTTGCACCGCGTTGCATTAATATTGATGGCGGACGACGATAAATACCGTTGACCGGTTTGAAAAACGTTACAGAATTGGCGGAAAAGCATTCCGTGTGCTAAATAAACGGGTCCTTATTCCAAAACAAGTGCGAGTGAGCACAACCGCGGTCGTTTATGTCTATAGAGGATGTGTATAAAGGGAATTGCGTGTATTAAACTGCGTGTACAATAAATGTATCCCCGGAATTCGTTTCGGCCTGTTTAACTGGGGTCTCCCGAAAGTTCAGCGCGCTGATTGCGAGGTTTCATTTTAGGTTTCGGTCCGTGTACGGTTGTACGCGTTCGTACTTAATGCTTATAAGTTATTACGTAATTAATCACGCTATTCTTAGTTGGTAACAATCGAGTCTTTCGGATACGCCTAAACAACAATACAAATAAAAAAAAAAACCCCGTAACGATAATATTTCGAACCGTCTCGACAGATACGCGACGGTCAACAGTGTCTCGTAGCAGAGGCAGCTGTAGCGATCTCGGCGTGCACCGTGAACGGCAAGACGATAAACCGAACAAATAATAAAGATAACAGTTCGAAATCGGATCAGTCAGCTACAGTTTAAGACTTCCGAGACGGCAGAACGAAGTTGTTTAACTCTCTTGGAAATTTCGGCGGGATGCCGCGCGCCCCTCAGCCCCGCCGGCTATACTACGGCCGCCGCCGCCGCCGCGTACTCGACAAAACAGAAGGGTATGGTCGCGGGTCTTCGGTACGCCCACCCCGCTCAGACGTGCCTTCGCTTCCTTCACTCGCGGTGGAGTTATGCCCGTATGCTCAACGTAGACGTGACACACCGCGATCGTACGTACATACACATCGGTTATTTTGCCACGGTTATATACGTACACACGCGAGACCGTCAATCATAAAAACGACCTTATCGGTACAGAAACAGGGCGACCCCGGCGCGGTGTGCGGGCATTTCTTCGGTGGCGGTGGTCCACGTTGGAAGAGTGGAAAAAAAATAAAATAAAAACCGCGCGAGCGTACCGAAAATATATCGGGTATTTTTTTTTTGTTATTTTTTTTTTCTACAGGAGCGCGTTATATTATAAAATCGCGGTCCAATTAATATGGGGTCGTACACGGACGTTACCGCGGTTACCGCGTAATACGTTACACAATATTAATATATAAGTGCCGCCGCCGCCTCCGCTGACAAGAGCGATGATGTGTGGCCACCGTTATTGTTAACGACCGCGGCCGGTGCCTCGTCGGGTTTTAGTAATTAACGGGGAGACCCTCCGCATCGACGCCGCCGCCGCCGCCGCCGCCGAGTCATCATTTATTTATACATTTACGCTCTGTCCGAACGCCTCACCCTCCCCCCTCCCCGCTGCCCCTATACGTGCCGCCGCGTCAGTTTTTCGACCGGGGTTTTTCTTCGAGTTCCGACCCGGGCAGGCCGCAGTCGTTAGAGCGCGAGTCTCGCTTCGTATACAATATGTACATAAACGAAAGAAAAAAAAAAAACCTCGAAAATTCGATACAGGTTTCAGCGTGTATCAAACGAGTAAATACCGTATATATTGAAAAATTAACCAAATAAAACGCCGAGACACTTCTGTTTCTGTCCCCGCGGACTCCATAAAAGTATTTTTTTTTACGTATGCAACAATTTTTTTTGTTTCCTATACATTTCGAGAACGATCCGCAAAGCGTATAATCAAGAGTTCACTCAGGACATTTCAAATTTGTTCAATTTTAACCGAGACAGAGGATCGATTTTCGTTTGCGATGGTTCATGGTTGTACACTATATAATACAAACTCAATTTCCCTATATTGCCTATCTTCCCAACCTTATTTGCAAAACAGTGGCCTACTTCCTTTTCTTTGTTGTAAATAAGATATTGGTTTTACAATAAATCTGTATTTTTTTTTTTATTTTCATATGTTTTTGACCGCATTGTCGGCCAATAAAACATTTCCGCGAAAAATTTAAAGCATCGAACATTAAAAGAATAGAAAATTTGTTCAGCCGAATATCGATGAGTTTTCTTATAAAACAAGAAAATCGCCTATACATGATTTGAATTCGGTGAACGTGAACTGAATATAATAAAATAAACAGCAGTGAACAGCAGAACTCCGTCTAACTAGAGTCGAATTTCCCTCAGCCGATTAATCGCTGTTAGAATATTTCATATTAGATTCTGAGTGTGGCGATGAATGTATTGGTTTTACAAAGATGTTTATTATTTTTTTTTTTCACTGTGTACGAAAACTCTACCAGAAATCTTGTTCCAAAGTATCAATCACAGCATTTTTTCTGAAAGGGAATTTTCCCAGAGTGGTACTTTAGGAAAGTAATTTTTTTAATTTTTCCCAATAAACGGACAAAACATGGTAAAAATCGGGAAAACTC